GAATTTGCCCCCAACTTCCATTTTCACTCATTTTGGGATTTGTTTGGCAACACCATGGGCAATCTTAGATGCATTTACAACTCTAATGTTTCATTATGCATTTCTACTCCGTCTGCACTCCATCTATACGAATACATTCATTCATCAAAACCTAGCATTAACTGCATTTCTTCCAGTGAACCCTCAGTACCATCATTAAACCAAGTAAACATCCTCCTCAAACTGAATTTAATCCAAAATCTGCAGGACTATCTGAGTTTCGGCAAGCTCAACTTGATGCTATAATTGGACAATTTTCAGATATATTTTATTCTGATGATGACAATATTGGACTATGTCCATATGTGGCATTCAAAATAGAATTGCAACATGACAAGCCTATCAGTTGTAAACTATATCGCCTTACAGAGCCAGATGGCCAAATTTTGAACATTCAAATTCAAAAAAGGTGGAAACAAGGAATTTGCCGTCCTTCTAACTCGTCTTACGCCTCCCCTGCTTTCATCGTTGAGCAACCCTTCCATGAAAGCACTCCAAGGCGAGTAACTGTAGATTTCTCACGTACTATCAACTTCATCACCAGGATTGATCCGCACCCGATCGACCATATGGAAGATGTGATTAAACGAATCGTAGGAAAATGCTTTAATTCTAAAATGGATGCAAAATCAGCATTTAACATCATTCACGTCAGAGAATCTGACATCTACAAAACTGGTTTTGTAACCGCAGACGGACATTACAAATTTCTTCAAATGCCATTTAGTGTCACTGACGACCCATCTACGATGACAAGAGCAATAAAATGTCCTTAAGACCACCTTGATGAAAATAATGTAAATACATACACTGACGACATTTCAACTTCACATGATAATTTCGATTACCGCCTTAAAGTTAGTTACAATATTTTTTAAGCTACTCAAAAACTGGATTCAAAGCAAAATCCAGGGAAGTCGCAATTTGCTGCATCAGAATTTTCTCTTTTCGGTCGAATTCTTTCCCAAGATGGGGAACGCCCTGATCCAGAATGCACAGCAGCAGTTGAAAGATACTTTACTCTAAAAACAATTTAAGAAGTCCTCAGTTTCCTTGGATTCGCTAATAAGTTTAGAAAGCACATTAGAAAGTATGCTGTTATTGCAAAACCACTCACAAATATTCTCAAAGGATTATAAAAGAAGACAAGCAATGCGACAATCACTTTAACTGATGACCAACATCGAACATTCGGATTTTGAAAACCATGATTACTACAGTTTCTATTCTTGCATACTTCAAACAAGGACTACCAACCTTTGTAGAAAATGACGCATCTTATTCAGGATTAGGTGCATATTTATCTCAAGAGCAAAATGGCAATCGAAGTGTCATTGAATATGCATCACGGATTTAAGAAGATGCTGAGACAGGTTACCACAGCAATGAGCTGGAGTGTTCTTCTGTACACTGGGCACTTACTGAAAAATTTTGTCTGTATCTTATTGGTCGCAAATTTCAGCTGATAACAGACAACTATACGACTGCATAAGTCATTACAAAATCATCTCTCAATCGAAAATTCATGCTCTATTTGGTGGATTTTGCACAATTTGACTTCACAGCTATTTATCGACCTGGAAAAGGGAATGTTATTGCTGAATATCTCTCTCGTTATCCAAAACCAGCTATTTGAGTAACTGTTACTGCACGCCGTGAGTCTCAAGTTAGTGAAAAACAGAATAGAGATGATTTTTGTCAGTATATTTTTCGCCTGCTCAAAGAAGATAACCCTAATAAAAAGACTTTATCTATTGTAAGCAATTACAAGATTGATAACAATACGCTTGTACAACCTAAAGACAATCAATTGAAATCTGCAGTGGTGATTCCGAAATCCATGAAAGACGAAAAATTTTATTGACCCATGTCATTGCAACACCTTCTGCCTCTCTCTCAGCATATCGCTGGTTCAAAACTAAAACGACACTTCTGCACTCACTTCTCATGTTATTTGAATGAGAAGTGAGTGCAAAAGTATCGTTTTAGTTTTGAACCAGCGATATACTGTGACTGACGCACTATATCGTTTACGCTGACGGGGTCGTATGCTACGAGATCAAATCTATCGATCCGCGAAATAAACTTTTGAAAGTTATTCATGTGCAACATCTTCATCCATATTACATGCGAGATGGGCCAATCATCCAGGAAGAGGAGAGCTCGGAAGAGGAAGAATAAATTTCTGAATTACAAGATCCAATAGAAAATATCCAGGATCCTGAAAATCACTGAATAGAGCAGCTATGATCTGCGACGCAATCGACGCCAGCCTGAAAGACTTGGACAAAATCTGTCCTAGAACCTTTAATTTTTACACTTCAATGCAAATATCTACACTTAGCATTGAGCGGGGCTGAATGTAAGGTTCGCATAAGTTTAATTTTATCAAAGTGGAGAAAAGTTCTACATTTATATAAAAAAGGTAGCAACAGATTAGAAACAGATATAGAACGCTTCGCTTTAAAATATTTTTAAATAATTCATTATTGTTGATAAAAATATTTTTTTAAAAATATCTTCTCGCTTCTTAATTATAATTCATTTAAACTAAATTCCTTGTCTTTCAACCTTACCTTATAATACTATGCTCGGTATGCTATGCTGGCCTATTATAAAAATACATTATATTATGTTGGGTATGCTATGTTAGTCCATAATTAAAATCCATCATACTAGTTGGGATGCTATGCTGGCTCAAAATGAAAATTCCTAACTCAGGATGTTGGGCAGATTTGTAACAATCTTACAAATGGTGTTTTTCAGTGTTCAAATGTTGTCAATGTCTTACAATCATACATAAAATTTTATAGTTTAATGTAAAATTTAAATGATTTAATTAAAAAATGAATGATTTTTTCTTAAATCATAACATGGTAAGACCTGATTGATTTTCCTGAATGGCCACGTGCGAGTCGACATCCTGAATGTTTTCACAACGTGAATCCCTTAATATTTTTAGTCGCAAAAGTCGAATTCTTGGCCATAGATGGCGCCACTAGAAAACAAGAAGAAGCGCACCCTATTTGCCTTAATGGCGTACGACGACAACAACAAAATCTTAATCTGGATAATTTTATCGTAACCATCAAAATTTGAGCGAACGTTATCGAACTTCGGGGTTCCAACGTTTGAGTTGGAAACCTATAAATTATGTTGGTTCGTGATGGGCTGTTTTTGTTAGACCAGCAAAAAACAGTCACATCTTGTAGGTTTATCTCATCTTGGTCAAGCACAAAGTTGGACTGATTCGCAACATGAAGTGATGATCAGTTTTGATGGAAACCCTTAAAGAGTAGGATCGTTTTTGATGCAATCCAATTTACCTATGCTGGTTTATGAAACCTAGTTGATTGGACCATAAAGAAATCAAACTACGTCATTTTTGTTCATGTTGGTCCAATGTAAAATTGGGCTAATTCCTAACATAAAGAGATGGTCATTCTTGATTGTACCTTCAACAATTAAGATGGATTTTTTTAATGGAAGGCTATGATGCTAGCCAGCTTTCAATGACGATCCATAATCGGAAAACAATCATAATTTTTTTTTGAAGACAACTATATTGCAATCACACCATTTACAAGGTTGTAATACCTGAAATAATTTTTCAGAGGAGTGTTTATTCAAGAAAATACAAGCCTGCTTTTTAAATGGACATAAATACATAAAAAATAGGTGCAAACCACCCCATTTGCTTACACTTGATATAATTACATTAGTTTCGGAATATTTTAAAATGTCAAACTTGAATAAAGCAGACTATAATAATACGACCAAATTTACGTCGGCAGGTAAACGTAAAGTTGCCAGCGAAAAATAGAAATTATAGTGATAAAACTAGAAAACCCCGAGGTAGCCGAGAGGGAAACTAAAAACGAGGTAATTGTGGAAGTGCTTCATTTACGTCGCACTAGATCAATGATCTACAGGCGACGGCCTAAGAAACATCCGTGAGGATGATCCGAAGATATGCCATCACAATTTTGATCCTCTACAGAGGGAATACATTTCCCGCTTTGGTAATGCGACGAAGTCGAACACTTTACGGTAGAACAGTTTAACGAGGGTCGATACCATACACTCTCGGTACCTTTGCAGACTGACCAAATACTGAAGGAAAAAAACTAGTAAAGAGAACGAAAATTCATTTCCATGGAGAGGTAATAAAGAACTCATATCGTTAAATCGGTCTTCACATGAGTTGTCGCACTAGAGATGCACAATAGGCTATTAGCGACGGTCTGAGAAACATCCCTGAGGATAATCGGCCTTCACATGAGACAGGAGTGGGCATCTCTCAAGTATTTCTTGGGGATTATTTATAACTTTTATACTCTTAGGAATTAGTTAAGTAAAATATTTAAGGCAGATCCATTAAGGTAACAGAGAAAGAAACATTTAACCGAGGGGTTCATCTTTCGGTCTGCTTTTTTTTCCCTGGACAATTCTCATTGCATGCGAAAAAATTCCAGGACAGAAAACTGATTGGTGAGTTTTTCACAGAAAAATATATTCTACCCATCAGATTTTTATTCTCATCAACGAATTCGCATACAGTGTGAACGATTCCTTTTATTTTTTTTTCGGAAATAGATAATGATCAAAACAATAGTGAGTATGACCTAATTTCTTAAGGCATTTGAAGTTAAGCATTCCTGCAACAACACACTGTCCGAAGGTCATGAATGCTTCACAATTTCATGATAACAGCATGGTAATGTGGTCAGTATCACGTCCTTTAGATCTCATCCATCTGAAGCTGGGTTTGCTTTGAGTCGCCGCTGGGGACCAAACCCTAATGATTTTAAATGTCAGCCTTAACCACTGTGTCATCTCGGTTCTTGTAAAGTGAAACGAATGGGCTCGAATGTATTACAAACTTTTCTGAAGTTGTTTTTAATTATGCTTAGATTTGTTGAAAGTGAAAATGGCATTCAACTTTTGTTTTGTCTTTGCAGGTATGGGATGAGGAGCTTGCTGCAATAGCTCAAAAATGGGCCGAACAGTGTGAATTTTATCATGATTGCAACACTTGCAGAGAAGTTAGTAAGTAATATATTACATATAAATTTCGAAATCAGATACAACTATTATTATTTTAACGAATAACTATTGTAACGAATGACGGTATCACGCAAAATTACATTAAATCCGGGTTCAACAGCCCGAGTCAAATCAGACAGACGTTCGATGCTTCTTTTTCTCACATAATATGCAGTTCGATTGGAGTTTTTTGTTGTTTACATTTATAATGAAAACACCATCCATATTAAATTGGATAGGAGACTAGTGGAGCCTTCTGAAGAAGTTCGATCCTGGCAGCTGACTAAACAATTGGCGCAACACGTTAAACGAGTCGAGTTGAGAGAGAGGGTTACCGGCGACTTTCAAGGAGAGGCTCACGATTCGGGCCCCATCCCCGGCCTTCTTGGAGAACCAGCTCTGTTGCTCTCCACAGCGCTTGTGAAAGCAGGACTTAAAACGTTTTTACATCTTTAGCAATGGCTGCAAACGTAACTAAAAAAGAAAAGAAAAAAAAAACAACAACATCGGATGAGCTCCTAGTATTATTACAGCGATTTTCATTAACATTAATAGATGAAAAAATCTTCACCATCAGAAAATGTTTTCAGAAGAGCAATTGAGAGCGAAGATGAAGTTGAAAAATTAAAAAATTGTCTTTCCTTTTTTTAAGAAGGAGGTAAAATAAAAATACTTTTTTTTAAACAAATATAAAATTAATGTCCAATAAAAGTAATTTGTATTAATACTTTTTTTTTTATTAAAAAGCAAAGCAATTAAAAATTCTAGATATAAATAACCTGTTTATAACCTCCAGATTATTTTGATGTTTTACTAAAATATTAAAGTAGATGACATGAGTTGATAAATTTGTGTTGACCTAAACTTTTGTATAGAACTTTTGAATATAGAAGTTTGTTTCTTCATTAGTATTCTCATTATTATATTCTTGGTTCTTGACGGAAGGAAAGGAATAATGTACCATAATTTATATACTTATCTTTATTGTTTTAAAATAAAACCTCTCAATTTTATTTTCGTTGATTTTTCTATTGGATTTTAAGTTAAACATGTTTGTACAAGATGTTAATTTAAATTGAAAATTTTAGCGCATTCCCTCAGTTTCAATTTATGTTTTTATTTTACTTAATCTTATTCCAGATTTTGCTAAAGAAAATGGATTTCTCATCTCTCATTAAATCTTCATGTCTCATTTGTATTGATAATTAATCATTAAAATGGCATTTATAATTCAAAATTTGAATTGAATGAACATTATCTTGGTGTTGCAGAATTCGGAATGAAAAAATACAAAATTACTTCCCTTAATTTTTTATTAAGTCTTAGAATTTGATATATTATGAGGTCATATTATTATTTTTTTGTATAATTCATATAATTTAAGCCATGGATTAGGAAAATGCTTGTAAAATTTCGTGGCAGTTTTAGCTTGCTTCTGTGTGAAGTGTAAATAAGAGTACACAAACTAATCTTGTAGGTTTTGAAAAATGTTATTAATTCCTTCCAAATACTAGCCAGCATAGACGCTAATGAACATTAGAAATGCAAATTTTTATATATAATTTGTCATCAATTGTCAAAATATTAGAAAGTATATAGGTATAGATAATTTAGTTCAGTATTAATTGTAATATTTTGTAAAAGCTTATTAAAATAATATTTAAATATTCTGAATGAAATCGTTATGAGAAAAAAATACAATTCCGTATTATTCAATATTCAATTTGATTTAAACATTGTAGTTTAACGTTTATCTTGTGTTTTCTGCAGTCAAGAGATACACCATGTATGTTCTAAACTATTAAAAAAAAATCTAATAAATGCCATATTTGACGCTGTAGTTGAGAATTTGAAATTTTCCGATATCATAACCTGTTTTCTTATAGCTCAATGTAAATGAAAATTGAATCCTTTTCTGGTTTAATTTTTCGTTTCATAGGTATTTTCATAATGAAACCCACTAAAATTAATACCAAATTTAAACCAACTAATAAAATAGTTGAAAATTACTTGGTATTTCTTTCAGAAATTGAAGAAACTAAAAATAAGTCGTAAAATTGTTTCGCAATAAACCAACCACGCTTATCAATTTATGAAATTGTTCATAAGTATTCTGTAATTTGTAAATTAAAATTCAGCAATTAGTGAAAAAAAAGTGCAGTGAATTCTTAGGCCTACTTCATAAAGTTAATTGACTAAGAGTATGCAAAAATAAAATCTATATTAAATATATTTATTTCGAAATCTATTCACCATATTACCTGAAAGTTATTTAGAACATTCATACTTAAAAGTATTTAGTAATGAATTTAAAATTAACATGCATTGTGAATTAAATATGACTTCTGTAGTTAAGACTATGATTAATATGTAATTTGTCCATTTAATTGTATCTGTAAAATATGACAATAATATTTTTACAATTCTTTGCATAAGTATTAAAAAATGAGTCCTACCATGTTATTTTACATAATACATTGAAGTAAACGATATATTTTCAGTTTCATAAGAAACTCTTAAAATTTGTTTTCAAGTCGTAGCTCTCTCATTTTCTCTTATTTAAAAATGAGGTATTAAATACTACCTTGGAAATTGAATCATTTAATTAAACTAGATAGCATTATAGAAATTAAGAAATCTTTAAAACTGTTTTAGTATTATTATGAAGTCGTATACAGATATTAAAGAAAAATATCTAAGTCTTTGATACATCTTTCACAATAAACAGCTTTGCATCTTTCAAAATAAAGAATTCATTACTATCCTAAAAAAATTTGACCGATTTTAGAAAATTCAGCGACCTACGTTTTCTGATTTTATTTCTAGAAATCTGAAAAATTTTAAGTTCGATTAAATTTTTAACCGTTTTTCGGACATGAAAAAAATAGTAACACAAATAAAATAGCTTCTCAATCCACACCAACCATTCTCCTACAAGATAAACAAAACAGGGTTGCACCGTGATCTACGATTGCACGCTGCCATAAGATAAGGTGTGAGGCAGTAATAAGTAGGATAACCATATTTGAGGTTTTCAAAAAGATTATTCTCTACCGCGCCCAGCAGTGCCTAAAGCGTGAGTGTTTCCTAGAGTACTTATCGGCATTATCCACGTGATCTGATCATGGCTAAAAGTGTCCCTACCATGGCTGTTCAAAAATAGAGCCCTAAAAACGGTGCTTGGCCTTATTATCTATTCATGCTAAACAGAGGCCAGTGGTCGGAAGTAGTGAAACTACTGTAGTCGCTACTTTTTTTTGTAGTGTAGTGTACTCCTTTTTNCCTTTGTTTTTTTTTTTTTTTATAAAGTGTAATGAGTTGTGCTATATATATAAAAAAAATAATAATAATAATTTGTAGCGATTCCTGGCAACTATTTTTTACATTAGTTTAATATATGATTCTTACACAACTAATTTTTCGAATTGGGTGGGTACAAATCTTCGCTTGACTGTCAAAAGGCGTAATTTTAAATGCTCTTGTGAATTAACAATAATTGCGCATTTAGAATTCCGTATAACTAAATATTTAAACTAGCCATTATGAATACTAGATAATTTATCACTTCGGTCACACTTACACATGCGAATGTACACTCAAAAAACAGTGGTGTTGTTTCAAAGGAGGGAAACATATTTTCGATGTACTTTATTTCTCAGAGGAAATGAAAGAGCATTTAAACATCTAACGAAATTGCAAGTATTTGTTAATTTCCTGGCATTTCTTAAAATTAAATATTTTTTGTCAAGAAGGGCATAAAAGAAGGATGGGTTTGAACCATCAGCCGCTTAAATTCTGCGTTAATATAATGTCACGAGACATGAAATAATTTTTTCGCGTGTATGATTTCTTAATATTGTACTTACATGAAATAATTATTGTATGACACTGGCATTAAAATGACAATACTAACTGTAGGATATCAAAAATGTTTACTTTAATAAAAAATTTTTCTTCTTTTGATTTTAATAAAATAAATTGCCAATCATATTCTCTTTGGACAGATTTATTTCATGTTTTCTATTCAGATTTCTTTGTTGTCAACAGTATAAGAGAAATTGGTTCCTTATTTATTTACTTCTTGCTTAACGGTATCTGTTTCATAAAGACAATATTATCAATCTATACATTTAAAGATAAAGATATTGAGTCACAGTCTAATGTTTATTAAACGATAAATAATTATATATCCTTTTTAATAAGTCATATTTACTTTCAACTAAATTCTATGTGAAACTCTATTCACTCAACGTATGTCATAAATATAATAAATACTTAATCACTACTTAAAATTCTAAGGCAACATTAACTTTTCACACTATTTCTAAAATGAACCCTCCTGGGCTTAAAACTTTTTACGAGTTTTTATAGTAAGTCAATAATTAAAAAAACGAATTTATGGATGAAGATACGATGCAAAATGATTAGATGCAAATTTTATTCTAATAGAATCGATAACAAAACCTGTGGTACCAATTCTGTTTAAACAATTTGTCGAATTTTTACGAAGAAACTATGTTATGTTACCGACTACTATTTTGTAATTGAATAGGATAGTAAATAAACTGTAATAAATTTTATTGATACTGAATGAAATGAAATTTAACTCTGGAATATCACCCAAAGGCAAGTTAACTCGTCAACGATCTCTTAATATAATAAAATATCTTTCAAATTAATAATTTTTAACAATCTGAGTAAATGGTTGAGAAGAAAATTCTCACAACCAAAATTTTTAAATACTAACAATTGGAGAAAAATATTTATTAGATACGATTTAAAAAATAAATAGATAAAAATCATAAAATAAAAACCTTATAATTTCTCTCTTTGCTACTGGTTTAGTTTTGCCAATCCCGTTTTTTGGTCCTAGAAAATTTCAAGTTTGCGTTTCTCATTAACTATTTTTATGTGTGCCTATTTTAACACTCTCAGCATTTATTCTTAATGAAATATTCTCTCTTTGTTCTTAAATCTCATTTTTTAGTTAACTTTGGTTCTCCTTAGATAGCTATAACGTTGGTCAAAATATCGGTTACAAGCAGTGGTCTTGTCCAAACAGAGGTTGCTGGTCCGCGGACAAACTTCATCCACGAAACTGGACTGCCATTATACAGATGTTTATTGACGAAATCAAACTTTTCGACAAAAACTTGGTCAAATCTATACAATTCGACGCAAGGAAGGCCTTTGGACATCTGACGCAAGTAAATTGCTTTGTTTCTTATTTTTCAAGTACCCATTTAGATTTTGGAGGCATAAAAATTATTTCAATTTTGGGTGATGAAAAAATGTATGAGGTGTTAGTGTCCACTGAAATATGGGTCTATAAGAAAGTTCCTTCTAACAAATCAGGCCTTTTATAGAGACGCATTAAGATCCAATGGAATGTTCTTCCGATGGATGGTTGACCGCGTAAAGATAAGCACGCTTGGGTTTGAAATCCAATGCAAGAATTCAGGGTTACTGTTTCCGATCAATTTTCACGCCTAAGCTTAAAGAAGAGTGCCATCAAATATTATTATACTTGTAGTGTTTGCAATATAATTCCTTTTTTTCAATTTAAATTTCAACAAGATAAACCACATATGAAATTGAAAGACTCCGCAAGCATGCTATGCCAAAAAATAACTAACGGTGATATGTTACACAAATATAGCCAAATAGGGTTCATACTCAAAAACATGGACAACCTTGCAACTGATTTATGTTGGGATATTAATTTTTTAAAATTTGTCTTAGACTTACAAACAGTTAGAATTTTCAAATTAGCGGAAGCTCCTAAAATCTAATCTCCGGAAGCTGGTAAAAATACGTGTAAATTTAAGCATAAATCACAATAATGAAACTTCCTAGAATATTAAGCTTGTTCACGCATCATCTCGTAAACATAACATAAGCGGAGGGATACAACAGAGTTTTTGTGTCTGTTATTGTTTACATCCAGTCAAAACTCGAAAAATCACACTGGTGGACGCCTTGTTTTTAAAGCGGGAAGTATAGAACTGTTACACATCAGTAAAAAAAAACATTTTGATTAATGATTGGATTTTCACGTACTCAATCTTAATAGTTCAAAGGGGTGACTTCAAATATGCTAATTAGTTATTGCAAAATTTGAGTGGTCGAATAGTTTCTGAGTTTTCAAATTTTTTAAAAAAAAGCCGAGTATTTAAAATATGATTTTACAAGAACAATTCGACCACCGATTTCGTTCAAATTTAGTATTTTGCCACTTAAAATAATGTTCTTTAAAATTATGTAGAATCTTATGTACTTTACAATTCAAAATTAAATAAACCCTAATTAAATAAATAAAATTACCCTAATTAAATAAAATAATAAATAATTATTTAACATTACTTTTTGTGTAGAATAAACAAATTTTAAAATTGTGAGCAAAATTCTGGAGATAGGGCGAATTTCACAAAAAGTGAAATTCTCTTGATGGGTCCCAAACTTTCGACCAAATTACTTATTTGCAGATTTAATTTTGAGGATCCATCGAAAAAATATTTATTCAGAGAAAGTACGTTTTAATGTCAGATTTCATGGAACCTGGCTACCTGGCTCTGCAACATTAAGAATTTTTACTTGCTTCAATTTTCATTTGTTCCAAAGCATCTGCTTGTGCTACATCAATTAGATCGTCCATCGTTTTCATAAAAATATTGCAGCTTTTTATTTGCTAGCAGTTATATTGAAACTTTTTTTGTAAATATTTATATTCATCATAGAGTTTGACTGACTAATCCCCATACAGTGGTCAGAGGAATATATATTTTGTCTTCCAGATAATTTGGGCGAAGACATGGAGAATCGGATGCGGTTATGTGGCCCATCTCCAAGGAAACGAGTACAGGCAACTCTATGTTTGTAATTATGGACCTGGGTAAGGATTTCTTTTGTTTTGTTACCATTTTATCTTCCAGCATTTCTCCTCCACCACCTTTCTGAATTTTGGCTTACAATTAAATTTGCTTCAAATAACTTTTTTCCACTACTGATGGTTTACAAGCATTTAGCTCTGCACGGCGTTTGCAGTTCCTATGCAATTTTGGCTCAATTTGTATGCGTGCTTTTTTTTTCATTTCCCCCACGTGATTTTCATACAGGGTGCACAGATACATTAGAGGCTCCATATAAAGACTTCTTTATGCTGCATATAAAGACCTTTTAACATTCGATATAAAGACCGTTCAAGCAAAAGCGGCCATTATTATGTCGTATACAAGGAAAACATATATTTTTACTCAAACTTGAGCTATATTTTTTTTGAAAATAGGAAACTGAGAAAATAATGTATAACAATGCGCAAATATCACGTTGCGAACATTGATTTTTGTGCAGTGAAATGAAAAGTCTTAACGATATCAAGAAAGTTTTGACTCGTAAATAAACCTCCCAAACAGATAAAGGTTACACAAAATAAAATAAAATATTCGAATAAGGAAAGCAAAAGTATAATCTACGACACACATTGAAAAAAGATCTACATTTAACTATGCTTTTATACCGTAGATCACATTAGCCTGGGTATCGTCATATATGTTCTACATCGGCTAGAAGCATTTTGTTTTAAAAGCCCAAAAAAGATTGCTTTTGAAACAAACTAAATTTTAGTTGTTTTTGGAGGTCGATGGCCGTAATGACTGACTAAAGAGATTATATAAAATTGTTATCAATAATATTCTAATTCAAATATGTTAAAAAGAATTTCATAAAAACTTGTATAATTTTTTTTTTCATTTTATTATTTTTGGCAGTGGAAATATAATATCGAAACCAGTGTATGCTACAGGCAAACCTTGTTCTCAGTGCCCTGCAAATACATGTTGCGGTGCATCCTGTAAACAGCGAAACAATTATCCAGGACTGTGTCGTAAGTATCTGTTTTATAATATAATACTGTCGTGGAATCCAACACCGATTTATAAAGATACTTTAAGGGCGATTTCACTGGACCTTATATGGATGGTTGATCGTATAAAGCTGAGCAAAGATGGCGCTAGAGGCTAAAATTCATCGTTCCGGGTTACTACTTCCGATTGATTTTTACGCCCAGGCTTGGAAAAACGCGTCATTCAATGCTATTATACTTGTAATGTTCGCAATATTACTCATTCTTTCAAATTAATTTTTAACGAAACAATTAACAAATGAATTCGAAAGACCCTAAAAGGAACGCGATAGCAACGTTTGAATACGCCATCTGCAAAGAAGATCGGTTTCGGTTTCAAGTCTTAACTCTCCCCTCAGTTGTACAGGAATGCACTATGATATTTTCACCTTTCTTAATATTTTTCGTATTTACTTGCCAAAAATATTTTTCTTAAATTTCCATGACGTTTTCTTTTACAACTATGTTCAATTTAGTTTTCAGTTCTATTTTGTTTCCTAACTTAAAAGTATTCAATCTATTTGAAAATCACGACAGAAACTAACCTTCTCCCATGACTCTCCTCACACTAATGGTGAAAGCATGCTAAATGTTGCCATAAGTCTGCTCTACTCCACCTCCCTTATGAAAAAATCGAGGTATAAATGAGGTATAAACGATATATATTTTAAAGGTATATAGGAGGTTGTTATTTAAATACGTCGTCAGGTTGAAAAGGGTGCAAATGAATACCTCAAAATCAACCTCAAATATACCTTAAATATATCTCCAGAGGTATACATGTTTCAACCTGAGGTGTTTAATTAGTTTCATTTTCAAAATTAAGTTATTACTTATCAACCTGAAGTATATTTTTTTACACTTGTGAAAGTATTTGTTCAAAAACACTTCAGGTTATAAATCTACCTCAGGTGAATTTTGTTCTACCTCAGGTAATGTAATTATTTTTCAACCTCAAGTATCTAATTTTATGCTTGCAGAGGTATTTATTTATCAACATGTGGTGTGTCATTTTACACTTCAGGTTATTATAAATCTACCTCAGGTGTATTTTTTAATACTTGGAAAGGTAATTTTTTACTAGCGTGAAGTGTATTATGATCGACCTCAGGTAATTATTTTTCAACCTCAGGTATCTAATTTTTATGCTTGTAGAGGTATATATTTTTCAACCTATGATGTCTCATTTTACACTTCAGGTTATTATAAATCAAGCTCAGGTGTATTTTGTTCTACCCAAAGTAATTATTTTTCAACCTCATGTATCTAATTTTATGCTTGTAGAGGTATATATTTTTCAACCTATAGTGCGTCATTTTACACTTCAGGTCATTATAAATCAACCTCAAGGGTATTTTTTGACACTTGGAAAGGTTATTTTTTATTAACGCCATGTGTTCCATGTTCTACCTTAGGTTATTACTTCGTAACCTCAAGTATATATGCTTGTATTTTTAGAAGTATTAATTTATCAACCTAAGATGCGACATTTTACACTTCAGGCTTATGTAGCTCAACCTAAAGCTGTTTTTTTTTAATACTTACGAAGGTAATAATTCCCAAACGTGAGGTGTTATACGGTCCACCTAGTTTATTAATTTTTAACCTCACTATATAAAAAATGTAATATATATGAAGATATTATGTGAAGAATAATGTATATCATTAAATATTTTTCACTAGTAGAGATCGTCAATTATCAACCTGAAGTTTTTAATATTAAACCTTCGGCAGTAATTGCTTCTTTTGTTAAGCTATAAAAGAAAGTTTCAAAATGCATAATTCTTCTGTAATTCTATTAGATTGATGTGATGCCACTATTGGCATTACATATTTATTTCCTATCTTTTAAAATATCTTTTATTACTTAAGCTTATTTTTATTAATAGAATCTATACATATATTTCTCTTACACGGCATCAAAAAAAAAGCCTTATTACAACTCCCCGAAGGGCAACGTTAGAAAATCGACCAATGATTGCTGCTAAAAATGTCACATGGCAAATCTAGTGGGGTGGCTCAACATATAGCGCTTTTAAAAACGGAAACAATAACCAGAGTGAGCATTATCAGGTTGTTCAATTCAGATTCATGCACTAAAAACATGACAATATTTAATTTAAACTCAATTAGGAATTAATTAATTAATTGAAGTGAGAATGCTTTAAAAGGCCGCTGTTGAATTGATATTTTTCTACTGGGAGCTACCTAAACGTCTAAAAAACGTTTAAGTGTTTGTATTGAATGCATTGAATTTTTTTATATTTCGCGTTTATTTATGCATTGAATTTTCACGCTTTAAAATGCAGAATATTAGTGAAGCAATATTTGATAATTTATTTTGCTAATATGTTTCTTATTTAGCTAATGTTTTGATTTTTTCACCATGTACAATCTAAATAGCTAATATACTTTTTTAAAAGCCAATAAGAACATTGGTAGAATTCTTCTACATAAGTACAATACTATGTCTTTGATGATAAAATACTATGTCTTTGATGATAATATATTATGTCTTTGTGCTAGAACATTGTGTTCATTGGCGAGCGAGCGCAGCGAGCCATGGTTCACGGCGTGAACCACATAGGATTGCGTAGCAACTCTCGGGGGTTGGCGAGCGTTAGCGAGCAGGGGGCGGAGCCTCCTAGTTATATTTAAAATAAATCAAAGACTTAATCTTTTAAAACGAACATGAAATATTTTTTCTTCTCTTATAGATCAATGTGACGGATACTTTTTATTTCATTACTAGGCAGACTTATTAATTCACTGTCGCGCCTAATCGAAAACAAAAATCTTATTTATAACTTCTTATTCTAATTTCCAACTGCTAAATGTTTCAGTTGCATAATTGTAATAATTCTCATAAATTTGTTGGCGACTCGTGATCGCCAAGGTATTCTTTTAAACCCAATATTGATATGCTGGTTGGCTTTGTTTTGGCTATGTTTTATTTTGATAATTCGCCAATTTTGGATCTCCTACCCATGCTTCTGTGTCCGTTGGGAACAAATTACACGTACTTTTTAATTTGGCTTTTGATTACATAGGTCATGGGAGATTTGTCTCCCATGGCCTGTCCTTATTAATATTACTATGCAAAATTTATTTAACCTTGAACATTATCATGGATAACATTTAATTTTTGTATCTCGAGCTCTGCAAATAATACTAAATAAAAGCTTTTATTAATTATGATCCAGTTTTCATCTTTAACTGTTATTTTCATCATCTTCTGTTTTCATCACAATCTTAAACTTCCACTATACCATACAACCTCCAACACCATCTCAACATAATTGGCACCCTGAATAATTGCATCTATAATTGAATTAAATCATTTTGAAATAACACTTATCCAAATTCTACAGTTAGGAAAAATTATTCATGGGAACTCATATTTTTAGAAGATAGTAGTCTAAAGTGCTTGAATTTTTAAAGCTATGTAAAGAACTGCAAATTTAAATAATTAGTCAGCTGAAATTCAAATTACTTTTATTTAAAACTAGAATTTCATTTTTTTACAAACCAACAAAATTATTTTAAACACTGTTTCCGTCTACCTGTTGAAACTTGTAATTATTGGAACCTAAAAGAAAAAAAAAAAGAATTAATAAGAAAGTCATTTTTACAATAATAGTGGCAGGTTTTGAAATATTAAAATATTAGAAATTGTTTTTTTCATGATTTAAATTAGCTGGAGGAAATTAATTTTCTTTTTCAGATAAATAGCATTCCTCTTCTGCCATTTCTATTCAATCCTCGTAGCTAAAAAGCATAACAGGTACCACAGCCACAAAATTAAATACACTGAAGGAAATACTACCATTAACGACATTTACAGAAATTCAAATATATAATTCCAATCTTATTATGAAATTTTAACACTTTTTATTTTCCTATACATCTGGTATCATTATGGTACTTGTAAGTTTGATAATTAGAATTTTTTTTCTTTTTTTGTTACAAATCTTTAAACTCAATAAACCTAAGCTATATTTTTAAACCTTTTGTCAAAGTTCATGAAACTTTTTAATAAATTTTTGACGCTGATTCAGAAAAGGACTTCCGTTATTGTCAATCACATCAGAGTTTCTTAAAAAATTATTCTTAAAATATTCTTTAATCAATGTAATCAAGAAACAACAATCGTTTAATAAGTTAAAATTTTGAAGTTATGGACCAATTTTTATTATTTTTTTACTCTTAATCGAATAGAACTAATTACAAGCTGATAAGGAGCATTTATTTCAAAGTTGTGAGCAATTTTATGTGAGGAAAAAGTTTAAGAGAGAATGATTTGAAATAATACTTTTAAAAGAAGTGGAGTATAATATCTCCCATATAACTTATAATACCGAGCAGAATAAAACTAATAATTAGTTGTTACAAACATTTGTTTCAATATAAAAACACATCCCATAGGATGAAATTCAAAAAAATGCATATAACTTTCAACAATAAATGTTTTTATTTGCAATTGATTTTTATTCAATTCAGTATTAAAATTGCATAAGAAACTATACTGATGACTTATTTCTAAAAAATTTAAGATTTCCGAAATTCGCTAAGTTTTGAAGTAGTGAACATAACCTTGAAACAAATTGTCATATAAGCTTTAAATCGGGTTTTAGTAAATTCTGCTCAATATTCTAAAAAGTAATAACAATCTGCTTAGTAAATAATAACGTGGGTAAGTTGCGAAAAAATAACATGTGGTGAAAAATAGCAGTTTTGTGATCAAACATGAAAAAAAGAGCTAGTACAGTTACTAGTTTTTAATTATCGATATCTGGCAAACTATTGTTATCAACAATTACATAAATTCTGTAGTTTATTTTGAAGGATTACTTTTTCTTTTTGGTATGAATTCAGAACTATTTCCCAGGGGATAAGCTCTGTAAATATATATATATATATTACAAAAAGAAATTGCATGTTAATCTGATTTAAAATGCAGTGTTATTATACATATTTTCTCTCATAAACAACAATATATACTTTGCATACAGATATCCAAGCAAACGATTATTTTACAGATATAGTAGAATTTCAAAGCAAAATTGCTATTTTAAAAATCATTCAATTTTCATTGACTTATTTATAAGATAAATTATGAGCATTCTACTCAATTAATCAGCTTGCATAGTGCTACGCTAAAACATATACATTTAAGCAAAATGAAAAAAAAAATAGTTATATTTGAATAAATAACAAACAATAAAATATACTATGCGTAACCTGCTGTAACGATTCACCAGTAACGTTACCCTAAACAGCGACGAGAAATATTCCGATTGTTCTCTCTTATTGCTAAGCCTACAANTTATTATACATATTTTCACTCATAAACAACAATATTTACTTTGCATACAGATATCTAAGCAAACGATTAGCTTACAGATATAGTAGAATTTCAAAGCAAAATTACTATTTTAAAAATCTTTCAATTTTCATTGACTTATTTATAAGATAAATTATGAACATTCTACTCAATTAATCAGCTTGCATAGTGCTACGTTAAAACATATACATTTAAGCAAAATAAAAAAAATAGTTAGATTTGAATGAATAACAAACAATAAAATATACTATGCGTAACCTGCTGTAACGATTCACCAGTAACGTTACCTAAACATCGACGAGGAATATTCCGATTGTTCTCTTTTATTGCTAAGCCTACTACAATAGCCTTTAAGAATATCCTCCGACTTAAATCATTTTAGATCAAGACGCGTCTTTAAAACAAAAATAATGAAATTTAAGTTTGAAAATTGAATCATATTTGATTAAAAGTGATAAAACTAAATTAATAAATGTTAATATGACTAGTTAATATGAAGTGTACTTTAAGCAACCTTAAAACAAGCTTAGGTATCAATAAAATGACTTCATAAATACCTCACTCTCTTTAGTTGAAAAAACGTATATTTTTTTATACCTCGTAAATACCTCACTCTCGATAGTTGAAATAAGGTAAATTTTTTTATACCTCTTTTGTTTAAGTGTAAGAAAAACAACCTCGTATACCTTAGAAATCACCTCATCAGTCTGGTTGATATGAAGTGAATTTAAAACAACCTCAAAATAAGCTTAGGTATAAATAAAATGACTTCATACTCCTCAATCTTTAGTTGAAATAAGGTAAAAACATTTATACCTCAAAAATTCCTCTTTTGTTACAAGTGTCAGAAAATCAACCTAGTATACCTTGAAAATCTCCTCATCCACCTGGTTGATTTGAGGTGAATTTTAAATAACCTCAAAGTAAGCTGAAGTGTATATTAAACAACCTCATACCTTATTTACAACCTTTACGAGGTATAATTTTTATTGCTGTTTTCTCAGCAACCTTAAATATACCTCAAAACAACCTCGATACCTCAAATCAACCTTAAATATACCTTAATTTTCGTAAGGGCTGTATCCCATTTCGATCGCCAATAATCCTACACAAAAAACAACAACCGGTAATATTTTACACAATTATAGCCAGATAAGGATTCAAAACGTTGCAAACCTTACACTTTGAATAATTGTGATAATAATTTTCTTAAATTTGCTTTAGGCTGACGGTCTGTTAAAATTTAGCAGAAACTCTTCTGAGTGGTAAAATTTTGCGTCAATTAGAACAAAAATTACAATAATAAGTAAGAATATTAAGTTTGTTCCTCGTTAGAGCATAGCATGGAAGGATACACCGGAGTTCCAGTTTGCTTCAGTCAACCAAAGAACTATAAATACTGAAACATTCTAGAAAACATTACTAAAATAATTAATAAAAGATCAAACATTTTCCTCGAGCTGCGAAGATGGAACACGATACCTCATCAAGACAACAAATACACAGCTACGCTGACACATCTCGATTTTAAAACATTATTTTTCAAATTCTCGTAATATATCAATATACGACAACTTTTTTAATATCCCACCCAATTTTATAATGCTATTTTTCTATTCACTATTATTCTGTTAATATCCAGTATACTTTTTCATTTTTATAATGTTTATTTTTCAGTATAGTGAAATTCTCTTAATACCTCTCTATTTTATAATACTAGTATAAGCAGCTGCGGCTGCCACTAGCTAGTTCACCAACATGAATTCCCCGATATTGCCTAAACGAACGCTGGTTCAAAACTAAAACGACACATCTGCAAACGTATTATGCCTGCAGATGTGTCGTTTTAGTTTTGAAGCAGCGATATGTCCTTGTACCTCNTCTTAATACCTCTCCATTTTATAATACTATAAGCAGCCGCGGCTGCCTCTAGCTCATTCACCAACATGAATTCCCCGATATTGCCTATACGAATTCTATATCGCTGGTTCAAAACTAAAACGACACATCTGCAAACGTATTATGCCTGCAGATGTGTCGTTTTAGTTTTGAAGCAGCGATATGTCCTGCTACCTCCAGCAATGCTCTTAACACTATTTGAAAATCGTAGGGTTAGAAGCCACTTTTGAATTCGTCGACCGCAGTGTGTTGGTCCGGGTACTCAAACTCTGCCCCCCTCCCCGTGACAGAATTGCTGCTACACGACGACATTGTCGCAGAATGTTACAGCGTTTTGGATGAAATAATTTTTTTCCTGCAGAATTTTTTCTCCAAATATTTCTTTCTTGCGCATCAGAAAGGAAAGAAATAATGATTTTTCTATTCTCATTTGAGATTTAAGAAAAGAATAAGTAATAACTGACTTCAGCTATAATTTCAAGTTAATAATTTTAAAAAAATGCAGAAATCGCGAAAGTTTGAAAGGTTTGGTCCAGAAAAGATGTTCTTTCTTTTATTTATTTAAAGAACACCCTATTTTATATACACTTATTTAAGTATCTGTCTTTTAAAGAGACCTATTGTATCTGTCTTTTAAAGAGACCTATTCGAGTGATTCGTGATCTTTATTTTGGGAGTTCTGCACGGATTTTACGATTTTTAGTTTGTGTAATGATTTACAAAATTCGAAATTGCATTTTTCCGCCTACAAAATGCGAGAATATCGCCTATAATATTAGAATTTAAAAAAAATATTACTTTTAAAATTTAAAATTTTTATTCTCTACTTTGTTCTATAAACACAACATTTCTGTTACTTTAAATTTGTAAAGGTTGTAATTAAAAGTATCTTAAAGCAAAATATTAGTGCTAGGGAAGCTTGTCGCAGAAAGACCGAAAAAATTCTGCTGCCCTACCCGCGGGACCAATTTGCTGGAGTGACATACGCCGCTTGCATGAATCCCCACTTGCATAAGCACCTATTAGCGGAATATTAGGCCAAACACATGGTGGTAATTGGTGGGCGTTTTGTAGCAATATTGTCAGTGAGGCAGATTACCAAGTATCAAAATAAAAAAAAAATTCTAATTTGAGGCTTCTATTTGAGTGGGAAGGTGTCATTTAGCGATTATTCCAAATTATCATTCATTACAAAATATCAAAATGAAACTGTTTCAGTTTTTCCTTTTAACCCGATGAGGAACATTTTGTGCAAAATTACAAATTTCATATTTCCTTCTTGGTAAAAACGTGTTATTTAGCATTAGTCTCTCTATTAGGTTATTTTCTCGATAAAACGAAAAAAGGAATATATAGAAGAGATGAGATGAACGAAGAAAATGCATTTAATTTTCTATTTTCAGGTATACTGGGTGATAAAGACGTACCAATGTATCGAAATGCAAGAAAAAGTATCTTTTATGCCGATTTCGGAAAAAGCAGCCTATCTGACAACCCCATGTCTGCTACAGGGGTCAATAATTGGAAGATCAGAAAGACTTTATCTGGTAAGACCATGCCTGAAAGTGAGAGGGAAAAAGAGAAACCTATAACGTCGGCTGATCGTTTGTAAGCAAAATGGCGTTGTTGAAGTTGAGCTATCACACATGGAATGTGCTGAAATAATAATTCTTTCTCTTATAAGTCTTTTATTTAACTTAGATTTATTATTTATCTATTTTGTTGTTACCGTGATAATATTTTTGTTTGTGTACTTGGCTACTTCGATGCATAATTAGTTTGTATATGTTCTGCATGGCTTCGTGCCTGTCTTTGTGTTAAGTAAGAAATATAGAGTGAAGGAATTGAAATCTTTGTGAAAGAATATAAAATGTTTCACTTAAGAGAATTGATATTTGATGGGCTTGTCTTACTCGAAATAGAATGGAAAGAGCAGTTGCTAACGTAAACAAATACCACGTTTCGACAACCCATCAGGATCGAGATACCCACACACTACGTCACTTGCAGGGAATCTCATTGCGATATGCACCTTTGCTTTCTATTTTAATATTAGCATGTGTTGCACTAATAACAAGTACTAAACATTTTAATAACAAATTCACTACACTAGGGGTGCATAACCTGCGGCCCGCCAACCCTTGATATGCTGCCCGAGGCCACAATCTGAACAAAATAAAAAAAATCGGAAATTTGAAATGTACGCATTTAAGTTTTTGATGCACCCATTCTCAATCAATGTAGGTTTTCGATGGTTAACGCTACGGATTTACGCATAGTTTTGAAATTCCCAATATTTTTAATACGCCATTATTACGAATTACGATATACGATCACTTTTGACGTTCCCATTTCATAATCAATCCAATGACTTTTCTGTAGCTATTGCTACCCATTTTGACATTAGTTTCTGAAATCACGATTTTTGAGAGTTATAAAACGCTTTATTTGTGCAAACTTCATGGAAAATCTAAATGACTTTTGATCCTTTATTCGGCAGTCATTGCTACGCATTTCCGCGTGGTTTTTAAAATTTCGATATATTAGCACGATATTATTACGAATCGTGAGTAAAGAATCGCTCATTTAGATAACCATCTTTTGGAGTGGTTTATTTGTACCAAAATCGTTATTTTGCCAATTATTGCTACACATTTCTACAAGGTTTTGAATGTCCCGATATTTTTAATATGCTAATGTGACACTTTAATTTCAAATCATGCATTTAAATACATAAATTTTTGACTCGCTTTATTTGCTCCAATTTCATCGTAAATATAAAGGGATTTTGATAATTTTTTGGTAGTTATTAGTAATAACTTATTACTATGCTTTTCTCTGTGATTTTTAAAAAAAATTCTGTTATTTTTAATGCTATAATTTGACAGCATGCGAGTTTTGAATAACACATTAAAATAATTACTTTTTACATGCTCTTTTCGTGCCAATTTTAACATAAATATAAGAAGTTTTTCGAACGTGTTTTCTTTCCCGTTATTGCTACATTTTTACTTGTGATTTAGAATATCCTGATATCTTAAAACACAGTATTGCAAATCGTGAAATTCGATTCTGTTATAAATTTTTTTCGTAACTTAAAAAGTAATACGTATCTTAGCAAAATCGACACCTTCCCGGAAATAATAATAATATTTAAGAAAAAAAAAACGAGATGTATACATTTATATTAAATACGGTCCCTTTTGCAAAAAAAAATAAAAATAATAATAAATAAATAATTCAAACACGTGCATATTTCTTTAGTCCCATAAACATGTGCAAGTTTAACAACACACTCCAACCTATTATTCTTGTTATCACATGATTTGAAAATCACACGTCGTAATTCGTATTTACGCGATCTTAAAATTGCACATAGTATTAACATTATCGTATTAACAATATTCGTATTAACATTAACGAGATTTAAAAATTATCGATCACGATTCGTATTCACGAAATTTAAAAACCACATGTCACGATTCATATTCACCAGTGCCGGATTAAGCGTACGTGGGGCCCTAGACCATTCAAATTTTGGGGGCCCCTTAGAATAGATTAAATTTTTTTTCTCGTATATTTTTTATTTATTCAAATATAAAAGTATTTATATATCTTTTCATTTAAGAAAGCATATTTAAAATTAAAATAAATGATAATAATTCACTTTATTTTGTTAAATTAGAACTAAAAAATAATCATAACATTTTGCAATTTATTAACACTTTACAAAATCACTATAAAATTGGTATTAAAAAATCGTTTTGTCTGCTTTTGCGATCAATAAACTCATCTATAATGTTATCAAAATTAAATTCACGAAGAACATCTGATTCGATAAACATCAAACTTAGCATGTCTAATCGTTTCTGAAACATGACGCTTCTTTACTCACTCTTGATTCGTTTCATTTTTGAAAACGAGCTCTCCGTAGAACAATTTGTTATCATAAGAGTTGGAAAAATACGAAAAGCAATTTCAACATTTGGAAAAACAGATCCAAGTTTGCCTTGAAATAAAGTTTCATGAAGTTCAGAATGAGTGAACTGAGTTTTTGATGGGAATTTTGATTTTATGTTACTCTGAAACTGTTTCGGTTCAGAATAAAAATCTTCCAAATCGTCATAAATAATAACTAAAATAAGTAATAAATAAATATGATTAACATTATGCAAGAAAATGATCGTAGTTTATTAATATATATTTGAAATTTATTTTTTTAAAAAATAAAATCATTTGTTTTTCTTATATTTTTTAAAATTTATTTTCAAAAAATCCATTTTAAGGGGGACCTCCCCCCCAATGCCTAATGGGAAATCCGGCACTAATATTCACGCATTTTAAAAATCATATGTTGTGAGTCGTCTTTTCGCAATTTAAAATCCCACATCTCGATTCTTATTCATTCTGTTTAACAAACCACGCACCGCGTTTTTTTATTTACGCAATTTAAAAATCACATATAGCAATTCGTATTCAAGCAATTTAAAAATAATACATCGCTATTTGTATTCACGCAATTTAAAAATCAAGAAAGAAGAATACCATCTTGGGGGGATAGGCTCCAAAACTGATGAAGTTATTTGCCCTAATATTACCCACAACAAGAGCTTCTGTCAAGACTTTTCCAGAATGAATTTGGCCTGTTCAAAATTACAAGAGCAGTCTTTAAACAAAATCATTCAATTTTCATTTAATGGCTCGAAAGAGCTATCGCATGATCAAGTACATAAAATTATCGCAATATTTAAAAGTTTTTTTCTTTTTTTCTGCAAATCGCAAGATAACCATTAAGAAATTTTTTGAACCATTTTTCTACCTATTTAGACCATTTTATATCATTTATGATCATATGCTGGGAAATGATTTGTATATCATTAAATTTTAACTGTAAAAAAATTTAATCAAGATAAGCTTCGTAAAGTAATGTAACTTTTAACAATTGTTAATATATATGTGCATTAATTGTAAATAGTACGCGTCATGTTAAAAAATTATTCGTCATAAAAAGTTGTAAACAAGCATCTTTTTATTATTAAGGATTCTTCAAAATTAATGTTTTCTTTTTCTCCCCTCTCTCAATCCCTACCTCTTATAATTAATTTAAAGTTAAAGGATATGCCCTACTAAATGCTAAATCTTATTTTCTGCTGAAGGATTCTTGTTTTAATCATTTTTAACCCTATAAACTTTATTTAAATCAAAGTCTTTAACTTGCAATTTTTTTATAACTAGAATATTTATTTTTTTTATAATTTAATTCCATGAACAAATTTTTTAATGTTAAAATTTACGTTTAAATGGACTTTTGTATTATGTAATATGATAAAAAAAACATGAATTTTCCCATAGTTTTTACTTATTTAACTTTATCTAAATTTTTTTTCTGATGAATTGTTTCTGTTTTTTTCTTAAGTAATCAGTTTTGCAGTTTCTAATTTTAAACATATTAAAGTATTTAATTTTATGCGAAGATATTACAAAGTTAACTGACAGAAAGAATTTAGTGCCCAGAGCAATGATGTTTATGTAACAATTACTACCTACAATTACTGTCAATATGTGTGTCTAAATACTTTGGCATGCACCCCTACACTACACCATATGAATACGTAAAATATCAAAATTAAATCCAGTCTCAGATAAGCAATATGAGTTTATTGTCTTGATGTTTGACTGTAGGTCTCGACATTCTGCTTATTTAAAAAGGCAGACCATTGATTAAATAAACATTTTGATGTTAATTTAAAAACATATGGTCATAATGTAGAATTAAAAATTCATTTTTTGTATTGAATTTTCATCTTCCATTTGCAAATTTTAATTTTGCTATTAGTTTGGGCAAGCCCAGTTTTTACAATAGTAAGTCTCCACTTGATTGCACTCGGGTCGCAGATAAATTTTGACTCTTCTACTTTCGGGAATATTTCGTATCGTGATCAGTCGAGCCAACTACAATCGCCAAATAGATTTTAAACTTTACTTAAAAAAAAAAAAAACATGTACTATATGTTGGATCGGGGATAGCTACTAATTACACCTTTCGAGTTGGTCCTTTACTGAATGTGTGTGTGTGTGTTTTTTTTTTTTAAAGTTTCTTAGGGGCTGCCGGGAAGTTGCAAAGAATATTCTGCCACAGATCACGATACTGAAATCTTCCCCTACCTTCTGCTGGGGGTTGGTAATGTCTCTGAGCGGACTTAACCTATAATCCAATCCATTCATGCTTATGCTTTTAAGGATTTCTCTAAGATTCTAATGATTTTGTACGATTTATTGTCTTTGTTCAGGGAGCTTATCTTTATCTCCATTACATATATTTTGCAATGAATACTCATGATATATTTCTTACAAAATAAATACAACCCTCGATTCTGTCCTTCTTACAGGAAACATTCTACATATTGTGTTGAACAGCGGAGAAAGTAGTTCTCTAAGTTTCAACAAAGCCATTTTACCATCCCAGCCGTTCTGTATGACAATGAAGTACAGGAAAGGACCGAATGTCGCTGGTCAATTGGATTCGAACAAAATGGAGATGCTTTTCGAACCGGAGGGGATGTTACCCGTTAATGTTCACATTAATCCGTCTTCTTCAGATTTTTTTACTTATAATCTGGACTTAAGTTGGAAAGGAGCGACGAAGGTAAGTTATCAAGTAACTGCACATGCTCGCTGACTAGTTTATTTTAAATGACGATTCTTATAAGGATTCTTTTTTTTAAAACACAAATAATAAATCTCATAAAAAAAATACACGCACACAAGAAGTACTACTCAAGAGAGTCCTACAAAAACAAAGGATCACGTTGTGAGCCACATGGCTTCAAAATACAACGGAAACCCAGAAGTATAGGCAGTAGAGAGCTTGCAGCTCACCCTAGGGAAGAAAACACTACCCATAATAAAGTTATGTGTCCATTCTAAAGTCCAAATAACTCTTGACGACTCCAGTTTCAAATTGCAACTTTACCTCGAGTGAAAGGCACTTAAACTGTTGCCCTTCGCTAAAAATTTAAACACGACTTAAATTTAGTATACAGTCGTTAACTGAACTTCGCCTGTTTCTCGATTACTTAATCAGCTCTCAAAAGCCCATATGAAAATTTTTTCTCCTTTATGGATGGTTGATCCTATAAAGCGAGGCACAGATCGCGTAAAAGGGTTAAATTAGTCTTAGAACTTCTAGGTTATCACTTTTAATATTTTACTCCTAATCTTTAAAAAGCGCGCCATCCAATAATATATTTGTAGTGTTTACAATACGCGTTTTTTCAATTTAAATTTCAACGAAACAAACAAATGAATTCATAAGACTCCGCAAGCATGCTATACGAAAAAATATATTGTGTAGTGAAAATTAATACCGGCTAACTCAAATTACGATAAAAGTGAATGAAGAAGTACACGTAATAAAGAAATTTAATAATAAACACAGATACAAACATGAATTACATTTGACAAAAACTAAAAGAATTAAAATTAAGGAAAACTCTGGGTAAGAGTCATGTTTCAGCATCCATATCCGAACTCGAACTGTTCGTTGATGTCAGTGGTGGGGACATGGGTGGCACCACAGGGAATCGGTTGCTACAAGTGCGATATTTCATACCAATAGAGTCAATAAGGGATAACGCTCAAAACATGGCAAACCTTACACTATGTTGTGATATTAATTTCGTTAAATTTGTTCTTGTAAATTTGCACATACATTTAATCACAAACCATAATAATAAAACTTCCTAGAATATTAAGCCTGTTTACATATCAGTTCGTAAGCATATCATAAGCGGGGGGGGGGATACCAGTGGCGTNAGTAGCGCCCGGGGCATGATGACCCCCCTTGCCCACCCCTCACTACGCCACTGGGGGATACGCCTGAAGTTTCTTCCGGTTTTAGAAAGCTTGTTATTGTTTACATTCAGTCATTAATACACATCACCATCCATCACAATAATATATTAGAAATGAAATTTTAAAATGTTTCACTATATAGCTCTTTATTTTTCTAAATATGCCTGTTAAAAAAAAAAATCATTTAGCATATTGTCGACAAATATTTAAATCTGGATACAGCTCGAAATGAGTGTTTTTCAATCTTCATTTACGAGTATCGTTTTTTATTTATTAATTTTTTTAAGAGAATAAACTAATGAATCAAAATGAATTCGTAATGTGATATCGTCCAATTGCATAAATAACTCAATACATTTTATTAATTATTTTACATATTCATCAATACAATCTGTAAGGGCAATTCTGGGCAACAACTTTTTTTTTAATAATTCTCCACGGATCATTTTCTATAATAAATGAGAAGAACTCCTTTTCACAAATCACAAAATATTCAATTTTGCATTAAGACCTTGAACTACTGGAGTATACGGGACACTGTAGAAAAATGATTTTCAAGAAATCATTGTGAAGAACTGGTGTTTCATTCCCAGTGGCGGCCTACCCATAGTCAGCTTGCCTGGGATTTAAAAGCGGTCAAAAAGCAATGCTGACCACATTGCCACAATCATAGCGTCGATTACCTGGTCCACTGTTGCGGGAATGCTTTACTTTTTAGACTAAATTAACAGAGTGACGAACTCTGCAAAGTTTAATTTAGAAGAAATTTGAAAGACAAATTAATATATTTTTTTCAAGGTCAAAATACTTATGTTGCGTATCATGTTATATTTTTTTTATTTCAGTTTTTGTTGAAGTTTTCAGTCCCACCTAATGCTCCGCCACAATATTTGGATGTGCAAAGTATTCTTGCCAGCAACGGAGAATGCAAAACAGATGAAAACTCTTGAGTATTCGCTCTGATATACAAGGCTCTTGTCTCCTAGCATTAAAGGATCAAAACTAAAGTCTTACCAGCTTAAACGTGTTGTCAGTGAATTCTTTTAAGAGAGTGAATTTATGAAATTCTTTGAAAGAGGTGAATTTTCACTACATTCAAATGGAGAAAATTCAGAAAGCATCATAATTCCAATAAATAATAAATATAAAATAAATTTTATTATCACAAGAGAAAAGATACACCACAGAATATTTTAAGCATATTAGAAAAAATCAATCCAAAACACCCTCCTGAAAGAAAAGAAAAATTTAACTTAGAGTCAAATGCATTTTCATTCAATATTTTTCTAAATTCAACAAATACACTTTAGAAACAGTTTTTGTGGAAAGATATTAAAATTACCAATTTTAATCTATCTTCGAAGGAAACACATAAAATCTAAACTATTCTAATAAAGTTTTGGAGTATTAACAATGGTGAAACATTGCAATAGAACTTTGCTTTGTAGAAATTTTTATATACAAAATACAGAGTGCTGCATTCTATATAATCAAACATGGGTCAGTTTCAAGATTGGGTGCTAAATGAGAGATACCTAAAAAGTTTTATCACCTATTTAATCTTAACTTGTATTCATTGTATTTAATTATGTACTAATTGAGCACAATAGTGCTGTTGGCCACAAAATTAGGGAGCCTGACACAAACTGAAAGCTTAATGAGCAAAAAATCGATATCAAATGACAACATGTTTCATATTTAACGTATTGAATTAACATTTATAATAAAATTTCCTACTAATGAAGAATATCATACCTTTATGGTAACTAATTCATGAAAAAAACTTACTTCTTAAAAAGAATAGAGACATTTCGCTGGTTCAAAACTAAAACGACACTTCTGCATTCACTTCTCATTAAAATAGCACGAGAAGTGAGTGCAGAAGTGTTGTTTTAGTAAGTATTTACCCAACAATTTGATTTTAAAATCGCGCGAATATGAATCACGATACAGGATTTAAAACGTAAAAATACAAATTGCAATATTGAATTTTTAAATTGCGTCCATACGAACCACGAAGTGTAATTTTTAGATCATGTGAATACAAATCGCAGTGTCTAAATCACATATAGGGGAGAGTCAGGTAGCCCCACTCACTTAAGGAGTATTGCTTATATTTCTGTATAATACTGAGTAATAATCAACATTTTTGTATGTTTCTATTGTTTTATCATCTAATTAAATAATGCAAAAAGAATAAACCAAAAAAAGAATAGTTAAACTTAAAAAAATAGAAATTTAAAAAAACATGTTTTTCAGCTCTTTTCAAAATGTGTCGGGTAGCCCCGCCCAGTTACAAAAATTGTGTTTTTTGGCTATTTTTTCAGGTGTAAATGAGAATGACCAATGTATTGACAATAGATAAACCTCATTTGTCATTTTTATCACAACATTATTTTATTTATTACATACTTTTAGTGAATTCTATCATTTTAAACAAATGTCATACTTTTTATCATTATAATGTATATTAATATATTATAATATTAATATATATTTATATTAAATATTCAACGAAAATAATTTAATTTAAGTAACAATAATTAATAACAATAGTTGTTTTTCAATATAAACTTATTTGGTTGATCTCTTCTTATAAACTTAATATAAAATACTTCTTATAAAATTACAAATTCACTTTGTATTTTGATTGCATTCAAATGCTTCTGTAGATTGATTCGTTCACAAATAAGTGAAAATAAATAAGTAAGCAAATAGCTTATCATAATATTTATGATTTCTTGATATTAAATTTAATTTGGATATATCAATTACATTTTAAAAATATTTAATTTTTCATTTTTAAATATATAAATTTATGTTTCATATAATATTAAAACATATATTTGTTGTTAAAAATGCATATAACATTCAAATTTGAAGCAATAAAATAATAATCTTTGCAACCGTACATTTATCGACGAAATAAAATTGGGCGGTGATACCCGACATTCATGTGAGCGGGGCTACCCGAAATCCAATTTTTTTGTAAATTTGTAATTACTCGAACAATTTTTCACATATAAACTTCTTTCTTCGTGCAAATTAAACTTAAGACTACATACTTTAATGCTGTATGTATAGAAAAAATTATTTTTTTAGCATTAAAATGAAGTTTAATCGAAACATTCAACCAATTTTTTTTTAATTTCACGACTACTGTATTCAACATTTTCAAAACTATTGTTTACCATGTTACCAGCTGCATAAATACTTGAAACTAATCTTTTTTTAATATAACAATTAATGTCTGATGGCCCATTGACTGGAAAAAATACTCTATACATATGAAATTGACAGTGGGCTGGGGTACCTGACTCTCCCCTAAATACGAAAATCGATGCTTGATTTTACAAGGGCGAGATTACGAATCGCACTATTGGATTTTAAAGACTCGTGAATATGAATCACGATATTGGGTTTTAAAAACGCGGAAATATTAGATTAAAGCAAATATCGCGATATTGGATTTATAAATGACGTCAACACGAATCACTTTTAAATCATGTAAGTACAAAAATCTATGTTTGATATTGAAATCGCGATATTAGCAGATTTCTGCGCCGTTCCAAAAATTTGAAATGGCGAAATCAAAAGAATCCAATTGGCATGCATGTGGTAGCATACGTTTCAAAGTTTTGTCAGATTATAAGTCTGATTCGAGCCAATGATCTTGAGATAATGCGATATTCACAGAGAAAATCTGCCTTGACCTCCCTTGGGAAGGCTTTATAGCTTGTTATGCACCCACAGCATTTTTAAAGATCAAAAATGCGAAAATTCATTTTAATGCAGACTAAAATCTCTTTTGTGAAAGTAGGCAAGCTAAAAATGAATATTTCAACTAGCTATTCAGTAAACCCCCCTCCCCCTAGAAACTGTAAGCAAAGTTTCTTTTTTTTCTTCATAACTATTAATTCGATTTTCTAAATTCTTTTATACATAAAAATCATCCTAAAACTAATTTTTATTTCAGAACGGAAGCAAAGCTAATTTTTATTTCAGAATAGAAGTAAAGTATTCTTTATTTTTGAATCTTGAAACAGAATATATGATGAGAACAGACTTTTGAAGTGTGAGAGGGAAACAAAACTATTTTAAAAACCAAACAGACTGTTTTGGAGTGTTGAACAACTACTCATCATCCATAATTCATCAATTTCTTTCATTATTAAGTGAGATACTTGTACGTCGTAAAACAAATCTTTGCTTAGAGCATTTTTTAGAGTTTAATTTCACTGCAACATCAGAGAAATATAATTAGAAGAAAAAAAAATCACTTATTTTGTTGCTCTGCTTTTATAACGCATGATTCTCAAATTAGAAAAAAGCATGTGCAATACTGATATAGTATAGTATTTATTTTTACAAGAAAAAAAAACTTTCAAAATGAGCTTAAAAATAAATTTAATAAACAAAAATAAATTTAGGTAATAAATTTAAAGGAATTTCTTCCTATAAATCAATCTTAAAAATATTTTACCACTAAAAAAAAACCCATAAAGTGCTTTTCAATTCTTAATGAATTGAAACAAGTTTACAGGCTTAATACATTTCAAAACAGAAGTTTGAAAACTATATTTGATTCTGAATTAAGTTCTTTCCTTAAGAGAAATCAGTTTTTTTTCCTTCCAACTCACCATTTTTAAAAGCTTTTCTGCTGAGTCCAAAGCATCCTTTAGAATAGAATTTTCTGTTTGTAGAACTGTGAGTGAGTCAAATAGCTAAAATACATTGAAATATTAAAATAGTTATCTCTTAATGTATATGGGAATATATACTGCATTCACTGAAGAAGGAAACATTTTCCTTTAAATAACACTGAGAAGCAAGGCTAGGATGTTAAAAACTGCCCTTATAAAATGCAAAAAAAAAAAAAAAAATTCAAATAACCATAAAATGAAAAAAAATTTTCTCAAAAATTTTTGAAAGCAAGTTTCATATTGGCAATTTTTATATATAAAAACTAAATTGCAAAAATCTGCATTTAAAAATTTAGTAAAAAAAACAAACATAGTTTATAAAAAAAATGTAAATAAAAACCAGATGAATAGAAATGTATCAATTTGTAATTACAGTCTTCAAAAACATCAGAATAGCATTATAGCAACAAAAATTTAATATTACTGAAGTTGAAAGATGGCAGACCAAAAGCAAATTTTTAATATTTTAAAAACTCTGTTCAACATCAACACTTGTTTTGGGAGAATATTTAAAATAAGATTAAACATGAAATTCACATGTAAAGTGCACTTAAAATGTAAAATATCATTGAAAATATACAAAAAATGAAAGAAAATGAAAAAAGAGCTGAAATTGATTGAGAAAAATGAGCTAAAACTAAAAAATAAAGGGGGAAAAAAAAGGACCAAAAATTAGGGTTTCCTTCATTAGACTGATACCTTTAGAAAAATTATAACAAGAAAAAGGATTAAGTTTAAGAATTTTTTGCATTCTGTGTGCTACAGAGCATACATTTTTCAAATTTCCCGGTTCTAGTTTTAAAAAAAAAATTGAAAGTTTATCCAATTGTTTCTCTCAGGTGCATGGATTTAGTTTTTCAATTGAGATACAAGTGGACAGGGAGGCCACCAGAAAATATTTTGAAACATTTCAAGGCAATATGTAATTTATTGAGGATTCAAAATGAGAAAAATGCTTCAAAATCCATTGTTTGGTTTTTCAGATATTAAAGTAACAGGAAACAAACCATGTTTAAATCAGAGTAATGAGATTATGAATTTGCAAAGGTGCAACTTTGCTTTAATAACTTTGCAATGAGAACTAAATCAACATGTAGTTCTCGTTGAAAAAGTTTCTTTTTCTCGAAAAGGAATTTTTAAATATTCTCACCATTTCAAAAGGTTTCTTCCACCAGTCGGCATTGTTAAAAATTTTTTTAGATACACTTTGATGTGTCTTCTTTAATTCAAAATGCATTTGATTAACTCAATATCTTAATTTAATTTTTTAATAATTGAACAAACAAAAAGCATGTTTTTCTTTTGAAGAAATTTAAAGAGACAAAATAAAAATTTAGTAAATACTGTAGTACCTACATAATATTTTTATACAATTACAACTACTTTAATTTATTCAAACGCCTTTGAACCATGCATTCAGGTAAAAATTTAATTAAAAAATTAAAATTCGTTCACAAGGAACGTTCTAACTACAAACAATTAAAAACCATACTTTTACCTAACTTTAAAACTAATAATTATTTTTTCTAAAACTTTGCAATCAGACTTCTACTTATGCTACCAATATTCCGTTAAAATTTGAAGATGATAGAATAAAAATTACAAATTTTTCTTTTTAACGTCCCGTGTCCATCGTTTAATATGTATTTCATAAATAACGCAGATCTATAACTAATATATACACACAGACAACGGATTCATTAACACTATGTACTAAACTGGATTAAAAATAAAAAAAAGGATGTATACATACTTAAAATAAAGTAAAACAATTACATAAGTATAACAATTATTAACAAAGTTAAAGATCAATAAAACCAGATTTGAGAAAAGTAAATTAATATTGAGATTAAAACAAGCCCACAAATATTGAGGAATACATTTTATATTAAAAAAGACAATAAAAACAAAATATAAACACATGGAAATTATTCGCATATAGAACAAGTGTCTTTATATACAAAATAGTTCCAAGGCTTATTCATCAACCTTTCAGTGGATGAGCAGCTATAATGAAATTAATTATAAAATGAATTCCACAGCCATTTTAAATTATTTCATGTATGAGAATTGTACTTTTTATTACATTACAAAGCATTCCAGGGAAATTCAAAACAAAATGCCTCAAAAAATGATAGTAATGAAAATGATTTCTCTGCTTTTTATGAAGAGAAAATATTCTAATCCCTATATTCTTTGACTTTCATGAACTGCATAGTTTCCAAAAAGATCAAAAGTTTCTTCATTTAGCAACCATAGAAGAGTTTCATTCCGCATTCTTATCTAATTTGTCAGGGTTATAATCTAGCAATATTTGATGCTGGCTAAGTATTGCTAAGTTGGCAATATTTCGACCATTTGGTAACAATTTTCCTACTAAAAGAAGTACGTATAATGAATGGTAAGATATTAGGAAAAATTTAAAAAATAGTTTTAAAAAATTCCCCGATTTTTATCGAAATGTCTCAGACTTTTTGAGAATAAAAAACTCCCTGATAATTCCAAGTAGGCAGCCACCCATGTAACATGAAATTAAGTTAAATGAAATCTTTGACAACTAAATCCAGTTGCCTGAAATTTTGAACCAGAGTAAAATAACCTAAACTTTCAGGGTACGTTTAGGCGTCCTTGAATAATAAGAGAAGTTGAGTACATGCTTTATCTTTAGTCCCTCAGTGGCGGCCATTCATTTTACCCTATACACTATATTACCTACAAAAAAAAAATCAGCGCAAAGAGGTAATAAACCATTGCCATAATTGAATGTAATAGACAATTTTTTACAGTCAACTTTTTTTAAAAATCTTAATGCATTCAGAATTCCTCAAAAAACATTATTACTTTTCTAAGAGTGCTAATTAAGTTATTTTTAAACAAAAAAACCTTAATTTTCATCTGAAATGGGGATTCATGTGATTATTCAACAGCTGATGTCACTTGCGATCTGCTGTTCCTTTGCAATCAAAGTGTTATGAAAGCTACTAACTTCTTGCTTTCGTTTGAATTTTTGGAATAAAATCCAACTATTTTAGATTGTAAATAACTATGTGAAAATAAAGATATGCATAATAAATTGTGCCCTAATGTAGCTTAATATAGAGCATTTTTAGTTTTCAATTGTATCCACTGTTAATAATTGAAAAGATTTTTTAGTTTTGTATATTTAATATTTATTAAACCAGTAAAGAGGTATTAGAATGTGTTATGGATGCTTGATATTACTTGATATAAATACAAAATAATTTTGAACCTTCATTATTTTATAACCATGCTAATCTTAATTTTAAAATATAGTTAAAAGATAAAAAATAAATAAATATTCCAGTAGATTTTTTATTTACTTTCTTTTAATTGAGTTAAATCAATGTTAAAAGAGTATTAAATTCAAACATATGCATTTATTTAGTTCAACATTACAAACATTAAGTTTCATAAATACATATAAAAAAATTATTCGCCATCTCAAAATTTTTAATTACAGAATAAAAACGCTAAAGATAAATTTTTTTTAGCTTCAGTTAAACAAAAACGTTAAACTTAATATTCGCTGAAATTAAGTGACTAAATTAAATAACATTAAATGAAATTTTAAGCATAAACGCATTGTGGCGATGATGATGATGGATAGATATTTTTCGATGGGTTAGATTCTTGATAGCGCCGATTCATTTTCAGCAATACCGAAGGCTTAATCTGAGGTTTTCTTCCTCTATTAAAGTTTTGATTTGTTGAGAAGAGCTGCATAATCATTTCTTCAGCTATTTTAGATTTTAGTGATAAACAGTTTGAAGTTTTAAAAACATTACTTTCATTTTACATAGACTCTCAAAATTGTCAATTTAATTTTCACGAAATTTTTATTAATAATATACAAAGTTCATAGGATATAAAAGATATCAAAACTAAAGAAGCATTGAAATAGCCTTAGAGGATCGAGACGGCATGCTTCCATTAAGCACATATCATAACCAATCAGGGCTAGTTTTGCATCATACAGAGGCTTTTTTTTTTGGAAGACTTAAATGTTAGATTAATAAACATTTTGGGGAAAAAAACAATCAAATTTTCGGATTCAAAAGAGAATTTCCAATAAGTTAGGATTGAAAATAAAAATTAAGAGATGCTGTAATTGCCTATTCCAGAAAGATTTTTTAGATAAAAATTATATTTTTACTTTCATTTTATTTCTATGAAGTAATAACTATTAAAATTTTATAGTTAAAATACACAATACACTAAACAGGGGTCTGTCCAGGACAAATTTACTACCATTTAGCGGTACCTTTACAAATGCAACTTTAGGAAAAACGGTAGTTTCACAAAATACTTTTTAAAAATTTTGTTTTTGTATCCCGTAAGAAACGATAAATCCATATTTGTACCACATTTTTGTGTTGATTTTTTAATATAATTTTTAATTTTCTCAAATTATGTCTAATTTTTCACGATAGGTACCTCACAGAAAAACCTTGACAGACCCCTGCTAAATATAAGATAAAGCGATGACTGAAAAAGCTTCTATCGAAATAAAAAAGGTGTATACTTGTTCATTTTCAAACAAAGCCTTCTCTAGGGCGATCCGCCTTTGTTCTGCAAGATCTTGCCAATAAGAAAATGAATTGGAATCTAAAATTAAATACGAAATATAAATAATCTGAGATAAATAATCTGCCTGTGAAACTGAAAGAAATCTTACCAAAAGAGGTCACTACTGGAATGATGTCAGATACATTTTGATTAACAGTGACATTTGCTGTAAACAGAGTGAAATTGAATTAAAATAAATAAAATCCTTGTTTAAAGGTTACAATTTAAATATACAGTGACCACCACTAATAATCAATGAATCATAAAATCAGCTGCTTTTAAGAATCAAATCAGAACTTTTATTACAATTTCATAAAATCAAGATTTTAGACAGCATATCTTTAAAAAAAAAAGAAACATTTAATAAGCCAATATTTTAGAGCCTTCCTGTAAATGTTTAATCAAAATGACAAATGTAAATTTAAAATAAAATATTAAATGTAACTGGTTTAGCTTTTAGAGTATTTGCAAAGTTAAATTTTCTAACATTTTTTTCTTAATCATTGAGATGTCCCTTGAACGAATGAGATTTTAATAAGTAGCAGCCACTGTATACATAAAAAATATCAAAACAAAGTAATCGCAGCTATTTAAAGATTGCCATGTCTACTGGACAAAAAAAAGTGTCCACACACAAATCATTTAATGATTTTTGCGTGATTTTCCCAAACCGCTAACTTTTGCCTATTAAAAACTCAAGAATCTAATCAAAGAATGAAACTGATTTAAACAAATTCAGAATAAGTAAATGACATTTAAAATAAATCAAAACGAGTAAATCAAAAGTAGCTAAAATCAAATTTGTTTTATTTTAATTTAGAAAGTGAGAAATACTATTCTAGAATAGTATTTCTGACTTTCTAAATTAAACTCAAAAACATTAGGTACTTTTTCTTCTTTTTCCTTATGAACCAATAATTAATAAGTAAATAGAGGAAAACATTTTAAATATTTGATTGAAAATTTAATTAATACTTAAAAATAAATTATATCTAGAATTTTAAAGAAATATTAGGATTTTTCATAAGTTATACTTTTTCAATGTAAAAACATCTTTGTATCACTTATTTTATTACAATAAGACAATTACAATATATTATTTTATTTATTTTTTTGCAAGCAAACACTTAATGATTTAAAACCAAAATTCTTGTCTACATTAAAATGAGATTTTTGGACTGGTACAGTAATTACAAAGTTGGCAGGTAATGACAAACTAGAAACTTTTTAATTCCAAAATATTTTTTTAACTACATCAATTGCTCTATAATAATTAAACAGATATTTTAAAATATAATTTGCATATATTATCAAAATTATTTATGATTTATAAACGGATAGAAATTTGCTTTGGTGGCATTTTTTAAATCGCACTATTTTATTTTGAGCATACAATTAATAAAAAAGTTTTCTTCCAAATGCCCAGTAAAATTTTAGCTAACTTTTTACATAGGTTTTATTTTTGATCATTTCATCACCTATTTCAATACTATTATTCTAAAATTAAGAAATTTCAAAGAGTAGTTGAATTTGCAAATGTGTGAAGATTGTTATTTTTGAAGGATCAAATTTTTATTTATACTCAATTATACTGACAAAGAAATTTACAAAATTTAGACATTAATGTTGCTGAAATTATAAATTAAAATTATTATTTTTTATACATAGATAAAGAACTTTCGTTAATTAAATTGTTCGTATTATCTAAAAGCTATTAAATTTTTTTACAAATCAAATTTTTGTTACAAGTTTGCAATTTTTTAGAAGATTCAGTTATTTTCAATCTAGCCACACAGATTTTTATTTTATTTTTATGAAGGTTAAATTAAGCTGATTGGACCCTTAAAGAAATGGTAAACTTTACAGTTCGGTAGAAAAGAATGTTCTTAGTAACCTGGAAGTTATATTTTCTTAAACTAGAGCCATCTATAGTTTTTTTTTATTTTATTGGAGCTTATCGTATTTGGGATGGTAATCACAAAAGTTCAGGATCCATACAAAATGTGTAGAACATACAAATTATTCTAAGAACATCTATGATATAATATATTTAAGCAGACAGGCATACCATATCAGAATATGTATGCATTTGTCTCATTCTTTCATAATATAGTAAATTACTCAGAAAATTTAGAAATGTGTGTTTGGGACATATGCAGTAATGGCATTTTTATTTATTTAAAAATATATTTTAAATACAAAATGTATCTGATGCATATTTTATTTAACTCTTTGTGAGCATTTTAAGCAAAATGTACCATTAAACAATGAAAACGAATATTATAATAAGATATACATATTGCTTAAGGACATAAAAGTTAACACATTGAGAAAATAACCTTTATGTTTCTAAATCGCAGTAATGTTACAACAAAATATTTTTCTAAGTACTAAGTATCTAAGTACTATAAATTAAGTATAGCCAAATACATTAAGATAATTAATATTTCCATGATTGGATATTTTGTAATAGAATCTAAAATATGTAATAGAACTAATTAGTAATAATCATAACATTGTAATAATTATTGAATTAAATTATAGTGGTTACAATAAATGAACTGTATGATGCAGAAATGACACAAGTTATAAATTTTCTAAGTATCATGCTTACATTGAGATATTTAATGTTATGAAATTGCCCAAAATTTTCCATTATATTTTAAACAACTTCAAAATAATAACTTCAAGAATATTTTTTTTAGGGAGGTTGCGCGAGCATGACAGTCTCAATTTATTCTTCAATTGCAATATTATTTCTGTCACATAAATATACATTTGCTTTATACATTCAGGGACATTATTAAAAGAAAAACTCAGTTTGATGGGTTTAAGATATTCTAAGAATAACTTTTTAATCTTAAATTTTGATTTCAAAAGAGAATAATTTTAGGTAAAAAGAAAATTCTCATAGCAAAATTATAATTTGATAATTAAATTAAAAAATTACTTTAATACAGTACCTTCTTTCCTTGAAAATATTAATAAAAAGTTAATCTTATTTATTTATTTCAACAGATACATTGAGTTCAAAGAAATAGGCTGTCTTTGTTGCTTTCTATTGTTTCTGAAATTCATTAAAAAAATTTTTTTTTTCTACTTTTAGTTTAGTCAGATATCAAAGAACCAATTTGTTAAAAATATTCTAAAAATTTAGAGCACAAATTGAGTAATTTTTTTTAACGAATAATCAGGATTTTTAAAGTCATTTTGTTCCAAAAATTCGAACTTTATGTTTATAAGATATTGCTCTATTTTTTAAAGATTATATTCAATTCTTTCTGTTTGAAAAGAATATTGTACAACAATCAACATCCATTAATATGCAATTTGATTTGGTAATAAATCCCGAAAATATCAAAAACTTTGGACTTTCAGCTGATTTGCTTTCTCAATCTAATTTGCAGTAAAGCGGACTACCAAACATTGTCTTTAGATCACGACTTACGTTGTTGCATCAATAGCTCATTACTGTAGCTCAAACATGGCATTATTATCCCCAAACTAGGATTTGATTTTTTAAAGTTCAAATATCTCAAGAAAATGTAAAAAATTTAAATATTGTGAGTTTAACAGAATAAATAAAATTTATATAAATCAAAAGCTTAAAAAGGAAATGAAAGCGCTTTTTTATTAAAAATTTTAACACAATACTATGCATTTATAAAAATGAAAGAATATCACCATACTGATATTATATTGTGTTGATACATCCTCATCTGAAGTAGAGTTCACCTTAAGATGATTTGAAGCCACATTTAGTTTGGCAGTTTCTTTTTTCAATTTTAGAGAAGACTTCTTTACTTCAGATTTGGCAATCTTTGATACTTTTTCAATCTTTGTATTTTTTGGTTTTGACACTTTAGAACTTTTACTATTTTCTTTTTCCAGCACTCTCTTTGGCACCTTCGGTTTCTCTTTGGAAATTTCAAAGCACTAAAATTGAAAAATAAAGGTTTTTTGATCAACTATGTCATGAAGAAAAAAATTAACACTATTCATTAAGTTTAGTAAGGCGCAGAAGTTTAAATCTACTCCAAATAACAAAACTTGCTATTATTTCCCCTTTTATAAATACAGGTACTAACAATTTTTAGAAAGTTTTATGTTCAGTTTTATTTTTTCACTATCAAAAATATGTTTTTTGATTTAGACACTAATGACTGATATTATGAGTAAACTTCTTCCTTACTTACCTAAACTAACAAATATTTAAATTTTAAAAACATAGATGACACCACTACCATAGTTTGTTTTGAAGAATAGCTTAACTTTCTTCCACTTTCACAAATTATTCATATAAGGTTTAAATATTGATTTTGGCTTTAAGATTTGTTTCCAATGATGATTTTGTTTTCTCCTGGTTAGGCAAAAAGTTCCAGGAAATCTACCAAACTATCTGGCAATGTAATCGCTCTATCTTACCATTATCCAATTAGATATGCAGTGTCCTTTAATGGAAAAGCTCTCTAACAAATAAAGTTCCATGTTACTAATGTTATATCTACAATATAGTAGTTCTTAGATTTTGCGTCGAAAAAAGAAAACATCTTTGTGCAACTATATTGATCAATAATTAAATTTGAAAAATATGTGATGAGTTAACAATTTATCAGATTCCCAGCAACTCTAGTAATTTACTTATTAAAAACTTAAAAAGATAAAAACTCTGCTAATATCCTTGGCCAAACTTAGAACAAAAGATATTCTTAGGCAATAGATATTTAAGAAATATATATGTATATATATATTTTTAAGGATTGTAACAGAAATGGATAAAAACCACACAACTTAAAGATATTAGAACATTTCATAATAGCAAAATATAAAATTGAGATAAGCATAATATTTACATTACAACAAGATTGTAAAAGTAATTAAGAACAATGTAGGCACCTTTAGGGAAATTGGAGCCCGTTTAGACGAAACCATTTTTGGTTCAGGGGATCCAACCAAAATAGTCTTGTCTGCGGCAGACACTTGCAAATCTTTCAAAACACTTCGAGTTCTCATCTACACACAAGAAAAAGAAAAAAAACTTACTCTTTATAAGCTCAATAATCAGAATTATTAGAATCGATATCAGCTATTAGAGTTCAAGTACGAAATTTAAAACCAGAAAATGTTTTCTTTTTATTGAATAGTATGTAATAAATTGGATGTTAACAAAGCTGATTAAATTTTACAATAATTCTGCTTACACACTATATGGCGTAAAGACTGCACAAACCCTTTCGAGAGTACAGCAGGTTGACCCCTGAAGGGCCACATGCCCAAGTATATTGATAGCAATTATCATAATTCCACATAAACATTATTTTAGATATTAAATTCTTTTTGTCAGTCAACTTGGTATTTGCAAAAAACTAAATGCTTTTAAATATTAAAATTCCTTTAAACTTGAAGAATACTAAACTGATATTTCTTTTAAAAGAAATAACATTTCTTTGGATTCAAAAAGTAGGTTTATCAATATATATATATAAAGATGGGTAAGAAAAAGTTTTTAAAACATCAAGTAATACAAAGTTTACTTAAAGATAACTAAAACTAATGTCCGTAGGCGTAAAAAAGTATTTTTTAACCAGTAATGTAATTAATTTTAAATAAATTTTATGGTTGTCAAAATGATTTAAAATAAATAAGCATGTCTCAAAATAGGGTGGGAAAATTTTTAACTTCAAGACATTTATATTTGGTGAAATAGAGATCTTACGATTACTAAATCTTACTGTTTTTAAAGCTACAAAAAGCAGTAAACAGTTTTTTCATCCATGTTCACATTTGAGGTAATATTGTAATAAAAATATTGAAATTTTCAAAAGATCATGTGGAAATCAGTGAGTAGCAACTGCAAAAGAAAAAAAAATCCCATAATAGATTGACGATGAAATTGGCACAAATAAAGTATATTAAGTGATTATTAATTATTATTAAATGTGTTATTTAATGAAACAAGTCCTAAAAATAATATATTAAAAATATGGGGATATTGACAACCACGTAAAAAGAACAATAACTGCAAAATAAATAAGATCCAAAACTTGGTTCGACGAAACCAGCACAAATAAAGCATGCCAAAAGTGATAATTAAACTATGCTACTTGAAACTCAAAAGTCTCAAAAATATCAATTAAAAATTTTGGAATTTTCTGCCATAAGAGAATTAAAAAAAATCCCTTAGGATGAAATCTAAACAAATAAAGAGGTCATTTTAATGCACGATTTGTGCGTCTTAATACCTAATAAAAATATCAGGATTTTCAAAACAATGTGGAAATGCAAAGCAATAACTGCCGAACTTCTCCCGGTGGAACCCTGACTGTTAAAAAGGGCTAATTAGCAGGTGAAAATATGTTAACCAAATAAATCATTAACAATCTTTAAAATTAGGCTTTATTAGCTCCTAGTCTATTAGTTTTTGGCATATGTATAAATTAAATTGAATAAATAAGCTAAACTATGGTTTTTGAATAATAACTTATAAAATGTGCAAATAGTTATCTGATAATTCTTAATTCTCGAATTTGGTTACTTTATTTAAATTAAGTGCGATGAGTAATACTGATACAATCATTAGTAAATACATAACCTTTTAATAATTTATTCAATGTATTGTTATTAGAAAATATATATATTCGTAAATTTGCTCTTTTCTTTCGGAATTTTACTTAAAGAATTTCACAATAATAAATTAAATAATAGACAGGTTTTAAAAATCATTACTGGTCTAAAAAAAAGTCCCAACTCTCAGAATGGAAATCGACAGAACACATTTCAAGTGATGCTGATTTAGAGGGCCATTATGACTGAGTATCTTAATTAAGTCTCTCTCAAAAACTGGGCCCACGAGTGTAAGTATAAATACTTTTCCTATTTTCTGAAGAAAAAAATTTTTGTTTCAGAAAATCTTTTCTGGTAGTTTATTCTCATTTTATTCTTTTCTATGAATAAAAGTATAACAGCTTTTATCTTAGAATAATAAACTAATTTAATGTGCATGCATTTTTAAAAATTGAACAATAACTCATTTTATAAAGTAGTTAATTTTGTAACATGATCATTATTTAATTCTACGCCAATTTGAAAGATATTTCTGAAGATTAAAGGTAATACTTAAAAATATTCTTTTTATATTTACTTACTTTTCATTCAGATTGTATAAATGCTTGTAAAAAATTAGATATTCTTAATACTAGTCATCCAATAAATCTAATTTAAATAAAAAAATATTCAAATATAAAAATCTGATTTTTTTTCAAATCAAAATGTTTTAATTAACTTATAGAAACATGATTTTGTTTGAAAATTTCTGGTGCCAACAAAAACTTTTTTTTTTAAGGAAAAAATGATTTTTCAAATATTACAATTATTCTTGGTTGTGACACTCCGAGAAAATTATTGTAGGCACCCTTAGAAGAAACATGATTTTTAAACAGCTCAATCTCTGTAATAAACAAATTCCTAACATTGAGAAAACTAATCTTGCAACAATAATAAAGAAAACGTTATTTGATAAAGAATTTTATATAGTTCAATTCTAAAAATTTGCCTTATTTGAAGAGCATTTACTTCAGATTCAGGTAGACTAGGGGTTCTTCAATATAATTTTTGCATATGGAAGAAAATGAAATATTTACATAATAACTGAAAATATGTCAATATCCTATAATGAAGCAAAATAATTATCTTTAATTTGAAAATTTTAAATCACAAAATGAGTTCTAAAACTGAAGTACGTATAACCAATATCACAGTTTCTTAGTTGAAAATATATAAAAATCATCTTACATGCTGTATAAAATATACAACAAATCTTTCAAAATCATTTAATGTTTGATCAAAAAAATTTCAATGCAAGGATAAAAGCATACACTTAAAAAGAACTAAAATTATAATTAATTTAGCAATACATAACGCATGCTCAATGAATATTTTGATCCTACAAACTATTGAGGGCTTGCCATATTTATTTTCATTATGTTTTAATGATAGAATCAATAATATAGGTAAAATTTTTAAAAAAACAAAATTAAACTATGATATTAAGTAAATATCCCTAACAATTTTTAGTCAATTAAAAATCATTCTTTTGCATTATAGATAAGGATATCTTTGATTATAGTTTCACTAACTTAGAAGTAGTGAAATTGCAAATTTAACAATTTTATATCGTCATTTGAAGATGAAATAAACAATTTCGGATATTGCTTAAGATAAAATCATAGAATTGCTTAAACAATTCTTTAGTTGGAACTACAAAAATAAACAACTTTTAGACATATAAATTTAACATATTTTAAGTAAACCAAAAAATATTTAAGGTGACATACTTTAAACATGACTTTTCTCTTTGAAAAATTTTACAAAAGAATGTGAGCAACCGAGCTTAAAAATTTGATATGAAAAACTATTTCTACTTAAATTTTAATTCGCTACAATAGTAAATTAATTTACATAAGAGTCCTCTTGAAATTATTTACGCATTTTCATATATTACCGCGTGAAGGCGTCTTTGGTTGCTTATTTCAGTCCCATAATTTTCTCTTCAAAGACTAGAAATCATTCTAATTTCTTAGGATCCGTTTTCACTACATCATAGATGTTGTTTAACATAGCACTAGAGCTGCACAATGAGCTATTAGCGACTGTCTGGGAAATATCCTCGAGGATGATCCGAAGACATGCCATCTCAATTTTGATTCTCTGCAGAGGGATGGTTGCCCTGCTTCGGTAGCCAGACGACCTGCATGCGAAGGTGAGCACTTCACGGTAAAACACTTTAACTAGGACTGATACAGTCAGTGCCGTTCCTGGCGGGTATGCAGCGAATGCCCCGCACGCAGGCGCCCAATTTAAGGGGCGCCAAATTCAACTATTCGAAAAAAATCAAATTATAGCAAATTATTAAAAATCAAACTATAGCAATACCTCAGACTCACCCATAGATATTCTGAATTATATAACCAAGAGAAATTTGCAGTCTTTGTTTCCAAACCTGTCTATAGCATTAAGGATATTTTTGACGCTGCCGATTTCTGTTGCGTCTGGCGAAAGGAGTTTTTCAAAGCTAAAACTTGTAAAATCTTATTGGTGAACTTCGATGTGCCAGGAAAGGCTTTCAGATTTAGCTGTTATTTCAATCGAAAATAAGATATGTGAAGCCATCGATCACAATGAAATGATCAATGAGCTTGCATCTGCAAAAGCAAGACGTGTTATGTTCTAAAACTACCTTGTTATTTGATAATTAGGTACTTAGGTATTAGACAGATCTTGCACATTTTCAAGTTAACGGATTTGTTTGCGTTGAGCGCCGTTTGAGAGTTTTAACTCAATTCACTCAGTTGAGTGAATTGAGTTATATTAGATTTTTTGTTAATTTCCGAATGGACGTGTTTTATTTATGACCTATATTGTACGTTAATAGTCTATTTTATTTGATGTCGAAAATAAATTTTTTGTCATATTTTTTCGTTGTTTTATTTTATTACGGCCATTTTCATAATCAAACACTTACACTAAAGTGACTTTAGTCTACAAGGAAACTATTCAGTTTAAACCTCAAACTAAAAATGATTATGAAAATTGGCCTTATCATCAAAATTTAAGCATAGTATATAGGGGCGCACAAAATTATTCTTGCACGCAGGCATTCGCCACCCCAGGAACGGCACTGGATACCGTACACTCTCGGTCTCTTTGCCGGCTGATCAATAGTGGTCATCCTCCCGCACACTGACCACAACCAGTTATGTTTGACTTCGATGTTCTACAAAACGATCAGTTCACTTCGGGACCTATATTATAAAAGAAAAGGCAGAACGATCAATTACTCGGTGAATGATCAATCACTCGAAATGAATTTGTAAAAATCAAATGAAGAAAAACAAATTAAATACAGCTGCGATAAAGAAATAAAGATTTTCAATGAAGTTATATTTAGACAATGATGAATGAATATGTTAGTAAAATGAACTAAAAATATAGTTGTATATTGTTTATATTTGTAAAACAGAAGTTCATATATTTCTTCTTTTAATTTGTTAATGTGCAGATTTTTTTAAAAAAATATTTTAACAAAAAAAAAATCTATATATTAACAAATTAAAGGAAAAGACTTATGGACGTCTTACAGACGTTAAACTCATATTTTTTCCGAATTGTTTTTGAGATTTATATTTTAAGAATGTTATTTAATTTCCGAAGAAATTTTAAAAGAAAACTAATTTGCTCTTAAAACTCATTTTTATAACATTCTATACTTTAAATATTTAAAATAATAAATCACATTTTCGGTATATTAAAGAAATAATTAAAAAAATGAATTGAAGAACATTTTTATAATATAAGCTGCTAAGCAATTGAATTTCATATGAAGCACAGCACACTTCCACACTATTACAAAAGAGACGATTTTTTCTTTAGGTATTTGATATTTGTTTAATTTCTTCAATATTGTGACAAAGAAGAATGATGAGCTCCAATTAGAGCAGACACTAATCGCTAAAAAGAAAAGTTAAAAATTTTTTAGCATTATTTTTAAGACGTCTCGTTCCTTTGTTCAAGAAATTACCAAGAAATAAAGTACAGTACGAAAAACAAAACACAAACCACCCTGATTAACTTTTGATCTAATGGTCGGATCTTCAAGTTCTGCAAATTAGTGCAAATAGTGCATGGCCGCAAATATACTCATTTATTAATGCGTACAATATAATAATTTGCAGAAAATCCTCAGCGACCATGTCGTATGATTATGCGGCATGTAAAAGATCCCTGGAGTGCCTTATTGGCTCTTGGCATTTCCGGCAAAATTAAATTCCTAGTGCACTTTAGCATCCAAATAGAGTTTCGGTGCTGCCATCTAGGGTGGCAGAAACTAAACGTCCAAATTAACATGACCAACGGTATCTCACCCATTGTGGTGGTCCTGAAAGAGTGGATACCACCTCTGGAGAACGCACTAGGTCTGCTTATCGGCAAGACCGATAGTGCAGCTCATTGGAAATAAAAAATGAAAAAAATAGTGCGTGGAGTCTCTCCGCGCGGAAGAAGTTAAACTTCGCAAAATGCGACGTTAATTGTAGAAGAATCAGCAGTCGTAGAANCTCATTGGAAATAAAAAAATAAAAAAAATAGTGCGTGGAGTCTCTCCGCGCGGAAGAAGTTAAACTTCGCAAAATGCGACGTTAATTGTAGAAGAATCAGCAGTCGTAGAAGAATCACTAGTTCTATTCAACGACTCTTTTTCCTGCTCCGCTCGCCGCCGTGATCTGTAATTACGGGAATATTGTGCATTTCTTCCTCGTGGACCAGTGGAAGCGCTTGTGGTTGCCTCATCGTCTCGCCCAGGAAAATGTATTTGCATTAATAATGTATGTGAATGCGTCATAATGTAATTTCAAAAGAGAAAACATAACTATCAATTGATATTCACAAGAGACGTACCTTGACATAACCTTAAATCCGTCGCATTGTCCGTGGGATTGTTTTCACTCATTTTTTACAATTGTTATCCACTAAATTTGAAAATAAAAAATACTACCCTATTAAATTTTTATATGTGTATCAAGACAAACTAAAAAAATATTTATAGAAAAACAAAACTTTTACGACTTTTATTATTTTTATGCTGTAGAGAACCAAAAAAAACAAAAAAAAACAAATGGAAATGAATCAGGAAAAACTGGATCCTACGACGTGATTTCCCGGCCAATAAAAATGTAGCGTTAAACGTTTAACGCAACCTTGTTGGAAGTCGCATAAGAAGTATAACTTCAAAAAACAATATTTTAATTTACAAAATCAGACGCAAAAACGTACTTTAGGGTTCCTGTGATATTTAAATATTAGATTAAAAGTCAGATATTTAAGATTTGATTTCTCAGGAATAACTGGACCGATTTCGCAACGATTTATCCGAGCATCAGACGTAGATCTCGGCCATAGATGCATTCTCATTGCTTGCACCAATCAAATTCGGAAAACTTTTTGCGTCTGAACTTTGCTTAACAACTAAAGTTAAAGTAGTTGCCAGGGATGGCAAATAACTACTGTTTTTTCTTTTGTATCGTTCTACTCACTACACTACTTCTTTTAAAAAGTAGAGCTACAAACTACGGGAAGCAGTAGCGACTTCAACAGTTTCGCTACTTGTAACCCGTTACTTCCGACCACTGTTTCTAATAATTTAAAATATGGGAGGGTTGACCGTGTAAAGCTACGTACAGATGCCGCTAGGGGATAAAATCCATCGTATGACTGGTCCTACTGATTTTTACTCCTAAGATTGAAAAAAATGCACCATCCTATATAATTACTTATAATGTTTGCAATATAACGCGTTCTTTCAATCTAACTTTCAACGAAACAAATAAGTAAAAGAATTCGGAAGACTTCGCAAGCTTGCTATGATGCGACCCAAAAAAACGCTAACGGTACTATTTTACATAAATATAACCAAATAAGGGATAACACTAAAAAACATGACTAACCTTACAGTTTATTTATGCTGTGATATTGATTTGATTAAATTTGTTAGAGGCTCACGACCTGTTAGAATTTATAAATGACAGAAAACTCTTATGAATGGTAAAATGACGCGTAAATTTAAACTCAAATCGTAATAATGGAACTTCGTAGAATATTAAGCCAGGAAGTTTTCTAAATTTATTCCACTTTTAGGAAGATTGTTATTGTTTACATTCGATCAATCATCCATAAAGACGATTTTTTTTCTTGTATGTAAGTTATGAATTACTTTGATCTTTGAGCTGCGTTAAAAACTATGAAAATAAGAAGACTGCTTCATAGCATTAACTATGCAAAGCAAATGAGGGTTAGTTCCATCAAAAAGTCTTTAAAATTTCTCCCAATATTTGATCCAGGAGTTCCCTTGTCTTCTGGATTGGGTTCAAAATTACAAGGTTACGGATGAACATTTTTAGTCGTAAACCTAGGAATTGGGTAGGCTGTTCAACGACGTCTA